GTCCGCCCGGCATTCCTCTAATAGTGCAAACCATAAATCGGCCCCTCTGATCATCGACCTCATTTTAAAAATGTGGTCAACCTAAGTTTATGGTTCTGCACCACTGATATACCTCAATCAATACTAACTGTACATGTTTGGATAAAACTGTATGAAAAATTTAAATATTTATACGGATTAAAATAAAAAAAAAGGAAATCAACTTCGCGTGTCCAACCTAAACTATCTATCTCTACGTTTTCCTTCGTATCTCGTTGTAATGGACCGATAGTATGAAACGTTCGGCTTTGCACGCGAAAGCATTATGGTAGATTCCCTCGTTGTGATCAGTTCACGTTCTCGTCATCACTAGAAAATATAATCCTTTAGACGCGTCGTCGCGTCCACGACAGTTTAGACGATAACGCTGTTAATACTAATTTACGTGTTTGCTTAAAGCTGTGGCGATCAGTACCACAAGTACTTGAAACGTCAACATATACGGTTTTTCCTAACGGACTCCTGTTATCCATAGCAGATTTTTTTTTTTTTTCTTAAACGTTGATGCCCTCAGTAGGAATTCAATAAGCTGTACTTACGTTTTTATTTTTCACCCACCGACTGTCGGTCCATTGCGATTATTTTATAATCACCCGATCGTAACCATTATTAACACTGATCATCATCGCCATGACCGGTAATTGAGTGCAAATTTATTGTTGATATCGGAAACAAATATTCGACCGTGAACTACGAATGTCGGATGTCGGATTGCGTATGATATTTGTAGGAATTGGTTCAGACCGATTGATGACCCACGCTTACTTAACGGCGCGAACAATTATCGAAGTCGAATAAACCGTATTGACATTATTTATTTATCCCGAACGTGTTTATCGAACGCCATTCGAAATCGTTAAAACAAATCGAACCTCCATAATCGAATTCGAAGTCCACCACCTCTCGTATATTATGATGTTTTATTTATCCTTGGTTCTGCATCGTTTCGATTTTGGTTTTTCTCATTCTTTTTTTTTTACCGTCAATGCACCGAACAATGAACCAGAACAAGTGTTAGGAAACGAACGTGAAGCGTGGAGTCGCATCGCGTTCACGTAACTTTAGTCAAGACCATAGCGGAGGAACGAAGTGCTTCGGGCACCTCCAACATCGCTAAATTGGTATCGCCTAATACCATCGTTGCACAAAAGGATATCTAATCGTAATATGATTGCCGAGCCTTAAGATTTTAGTTAAACTGTTTCGAATTACTAGGTGGTACTATTGATCGAGAGTTTTCCCGAACCGTAATCCGTTCGTCCGCGTATGGTCTTGTCGTAAAAATTATTTTTACCGTACGTTGTATTGTATTTAATTATACGTTTACTAATAGAAAAAACATTTTTTTTTTGCTGCAAATATGCTGCGTAAGATCGGTAGTGTTGAACTTCCGTTTGAGTGGTCGGTACAGATGATCAAACGAAGAACTCGATCGCGCAATCATGGAAGAAACCAGATGCGAGGAAGGCGGTGTTTTGCTCGATTATAATTTCGAACCATTCAATTGACTTCACTCAACGCTATTATATTAGATATAATCTCACCCACGTAATATAACCGAAACCTTTTTTTTTTTTTTTTTGATACCTGAGCTTATCCGCTTATGCATCGAACTGAGATTTTCTTGGATTAAGTACAGTTATGCCATCTAAAGCCGGGTTCACACTATTGCAATTTTTTGCATTATAGACTTGCTTACAATAAATATCATGCAAGAATACGCATAGTTATACACAAGTGTATGTTCACATATATGCTTATATTTTTAGTCTTGTATGTATTTAAATATAGTTTAGTTTCAAAAGCAGTGGCGCACACAGAATTTTTTTCCGGGGAGGGTCAAGGTAAAAATATAACACATTTTACAATTAACAATATTATGTAAATCTTTAATATATTTTGACTTAAATAATAGCATTGATAATAGAATAGACTATTCTATAATCAATGATACTAGGTATTCAATAATAGCTCTTCATATTTCAAACTTGTAAAATTTGTAAATTTTAACCTAGACATCGGAGAAAATTTTGGAGGGGGTTACAACCCCTTAACCCCCCCACTTGCGTGCGCCACTGTTCAAAAGTGATCTGATCGCGAGTAGAAATACTGTTTTTTTTTTTTTAAATTTTTAACGAGAATATTAAATGAATCTAACAAAAAAAGGTGTAATTATTGTTTGCGATATGCTTCGTAAAAAAATCTTAAAAAAGAAGCAAGAAGCTTATAAAATATAATAAAATAATTTATATTAATAATTGTATTAATATTATTATTATTATTAAAAAAATGTTAAAAGTTCATAAAACACAATCGCATTGATTATGATTACGCAGTTAACTATTCATGTTCGAGAATAAACTGGCATACAATTACCTAATTGCATACAAATTCTGTCCGACATGTTGGACTGCATGCAAGTTTAAGCATGCGGGAAAAAGCATACAAGAAATTGCAATAGTGTGAATCCGGTATAAATTACTTTTCATAACGTATGCTATTGTGATTTTGTTTCCTCGTATAAAACAAATAAATTTACCGTCTTATTTCTAAAAAACAACTATCGTTAAATCGATATTCGAAAATATAATTTCTAAATGTTTGGATATCGATGTATTTTTGTTCGTTATACGGTTTCCTGCACTTATCTATTTTGTGCGTAAATGTCGGTAGATCTAATGGTGTATAAATCTCTGAGCCTCAGCTCAGACCGTCGACGTGATCTAAATTCCTATAAGCTTACCACTAATGAGGATCGGAAGATTAAAACTGAAAAAAAAATAAAAATAGTACGAAAAACGAAAAATCGTAACGTCTTAAATTTTATTGTCTTTACATGGAATGTACAAAATATCATTTTTTTTTTCTTACACACATAAATTTATTCACGTATATGTTATGAAATATAATAAAAATTATTCGTTTATAATATATCTGATATTTAAGTCGTCAAGTACAATACAATACGAATTACAACACGCGTCGACTTGTTCGCAAATATAATACGATAATACTACACTGTCGTCCAGGTACACTGTACCGTCACGACGACGAGTTTTGGTACGTTTTCAGCTTACAACCCGTCGAAAGGACGAAAAAAGCGTAACGTTCTCCTCGGATAAATATCCGGTCGTAACGGTTAAGACGTTAAGTTTCGTGTCATTTTTTCCCGTAGGAGGATAACTTTGAAGAGATCACTCTCGCGGCGTACGGGCAAACGTTACGGACCGGTCCGAGTAAAACGTTTCCATTTTACGTAACGGTAACCGATTACGAAGATCAATTTGCATCGGTCGGTTCGTCCGTGAATATGTTTTCATGCGATCGGGTTACGGACCGAAAGTAGTTCCGTTTCGCTTTTTACACGAGTACGCGTCACGTGATCAGTTACCGGAGTACGGTTCGAAAGGAAAACAATTATTAATCGTAATATAAAAATCGATCGATTAGACGACGTATTATTATTACAGTAGTAGTATACGACATAACGATGCGTACGGTCGACGAGTACGCGTTACACCGTTTCGCACGTTCTTATGGACTAAAAAATAATTTGCGAAAAATATCGAAAAACCATTTGCAGCGAAAAAGCTGTAAAAAAAAAAAAAAAAAATGAAAACATGTATGATACACACGTGTGAAATAAAAAAATACTCGTTACAAAAATAAAGCCGAATTCGTCTGTTCAACAGTGTTTACAGCAGCGGCGGTGGTACGTGTTAAATGTTTGTTTTGGAAAAAGTATTATCGGATCGGTTTTGAAAACGTATTTTAATTTTGGAGACCGGAATGCGAGTCTGGAGCGACCGTAGGGCGGAAGAGTTTTTTTTTTTACATCCGATTTATTTTCAAACGCGCGATATGCGTATTGAAAACGTCGGAAAAAAATTATTAATGGACCGAACGTATGGGAACGAGAGGCTTATGTAATATATAAAAAACGACGGGCGAGTAGTAGGGGGTGACGGCGTCAGGGTTTTCTATATATTTTCTTCTCGTGAACCGTTAAAATAACGATAAATATTCATCACGCGAAACGTTCGAAAGACACATGCGGCATCACAACAACAAACGGGGAGTAATAGTTATTTATCGAACGCGACGGTTTTAGTCTAGGTAAAATACTTTAGGTGTTATAAGCCTTGCGCCGTTCGAACTCTTTTCCCAGACCCACTCGCGTATGCACTCTGGTGCATTTTTGAGGGCGTTCATGGCGAAACGGGTCTAGAAGCGATTTCGTGACCTTTTCATCGCGATGGTGGAACACCGAACGAAATCCGAACCGTTGCGGCGGAAAAGCGCATTTCGGATTTGAACTAAACCGTTGCGCAGTCCTACACGCCCGTATTGCGATCGTATTATAATGTACAATATTGTGCACACGGTTTTCGCACGTACCACCTCGGGCTCTGTTTTTCCAATTTTTATTTGCCATTCACTCTCAAACAACAACAACGAAAACGTTGAAAATCTTCCGACACGACATACAATTTAAAAAAAACGAAAATAAATATTTACGATGGTTTACTCTAATATCGTTTTCGTTGAATTCATATTTTTATCATGCATATTAAATCAATCGCTCTCTTATGTACACACACTCACACACATGCAAACGCGACGCACAAATATAAATATAATTTACCTTTGTAATAATATTCCTATCGTCATATACATTATGTATTGTTATTATGTACATTAAACGCATTTTGTGTAGTAATAATATGATACATATTCGATTCTGATATCGCTTAATATTACAATAAATATTAGAGTGTATAACGTAATCAAATCGTCGTATGTACAAGTTTAAAAGCTATCAAATATAATGTTACATAATAATACGTGTTTATATATTATGTAAATAAATAATTGAGTATTATAATAATTTCGAGGGTTACAAGACAGAGATAGAGAAAGAGAGAGAGAGAGAGAGAGAGAGAAATATAAAAAGAGAGACAGAGATATATATATGTATATTTATATGCATATGTAGAGAGATGGAAAGATAAAAAATATCAAAACGGTAATGTGCGCTCTGCTTCCCATTATTACGCCCGAGACCGGCGACGCAAAACGTTCCTCAGTTTGTTCAGATTGTCCAACGTTGTCCGGTCGTCAGGCGATATCCTCAACGCGTTCTGGTAGCTGGACAACGCCTCCCGGTGTTTGCCGTTCAGGTGCAGCATGGCTCCCAAGTTACTGTGGCTGCTCGCGTCCTGCAGACAGATAGAACAAGTCATCGATTAATTACTATCTGAGTAGTAACTGTTTACAAAACTAGCTGAATCAGCCTGGGGAGATATTTACACTGCGTCAGATTGTAGTAATATTACGATTTCGATTTAAAAAATAGAACATTTTTAGATCGAAATAAAGCGCAACACAATTATCTTAATTTTATTTTTAATCCGTTTGTTAACATTATTATTTATTCCGGAGGCGTATGAATCAACTATATCGATTGGAAAACGTTATGGTGAATAAATATTTTACTATTATAATCACGGTTTCATTGAAAAGTACTAAAAACAATTATGTGTTCATTGATCAGTATTTAACATGTAAAAGGGACAGTTGAAATAAAAATAAACTGTAAATCAAGTATACGAAAATAAAATTTTACGATAAACCATAGAATCGAAATAAACAGTATTTATCTAAAAATGTTAAAATAAAAGAATATTGTAAACGATTTATTTCATATGTACTTGAAGGATATTTACTTATTAGTATGTATTAGGGAATAGATGATTGAACAATTGCACATTGCACATCTTTATGTGTTGGTATATTACATGGCTACACTTTGATCGATTAAGTATTATATTCATGTTTATTTTAAACTTTTGTAAGCTATAGTTATACTAATTTAATAATAAAGTAAACAGTTAACAGTACGTGAAATATATTCCAAGGAAGCTATAGAAAATTCTACAAGACTATACCATTAGTTAGTAAAAATTACGAGAATATATGATTTACTTTAAAATATCTCGGTCGATTCTCTTTATAGTATACGCCATTGTCCACAAAATACCTGCAATTTTGAACGTTGAGCAATCATACTTAAATGTTTTACTTGAATTATAGCATTTGTACATCGACGAAAACGACGAACAATTTTACGATATCCTTAAGACGCTTAGTAGTTTCTAACTGTCGTTTCTACATTCAAGGTTCGTCGTTTTATTGTTCACAATAAATTATATTTACAGTTGCATTTAGAAAATAGAGAATAGTATTTATTAAAACGCGATTATAGTATTAAAATATTTAATTTGCACTGAATTAAAAAATTTGAACTATGGTGAGTCAATTATTCGCTATATTACGTGCATGTACACACAAAGATCAATAACAAATATATGCAATGTAGTTGTTGTTCGGAATAAAATCAAAAGTATGTATGGTCACATTCATTGACACATGTACTTGTATAAGTTTTACGCACAACACGAACGAGCAAAAAAAAAAATAAACCGTTTGCCTGACGATTTCGATGATCGACGACTACTTCAAGGGCGAAGGGCGACATCCGGCGTGACGTTTCTAACGAAACGTTAGCAAAACTCCAAGCGATAAGAGAAATTCATTTTGAGATAGCAACTGCGAGTGGAATGAAAAAATGAATTACCGGATTGGTGTGAACCGTGAAATATGTGACACACGGGTAAAAAATGCAGGTAGTAGAGCGGTCAAAAAAATATATATTTGTATACATGATAAACTGCATTGATAACTTGTAGCGAGAAGTCGCTTTAATCGTCATTATCGGATGTCCGTCGATTCATGAAAGTATGATGATCACCGTGTCTAGGAGCGACTATTTGACCTTATGAGTCCTTAAAGACATCGTAGCCGTGAGGGACAAATTTATCGCACGTGGGTCGTATAAAAATTTCACCAAAACTTTATCATACTCCATAGTGACTTAAATGAAACTCGGCGGTTTAGTGAAATTGAAAAAATCGAAACAATTTGCAATAGTTGTAATGCGTACGACGGAATTATCGTCCAATAGATAATAATGTAAATTACAATAGATTTATATCGATTTAAAATCGTTGGTTATTTGATTTTGTTGTAGAGTTTAACGATTTGCGTTATCGTGATGTGTACTATAGTGAACCTGCTGGGCCGGATGTGATTCCGGTGATTATTATGAAGAACATGCCCGTAATCACCGTAAATTATCAGCATCGCCGGACGACAGTTGTATTTCAAACGCGCGGACACGATTGTTAATTTTATCGGGCACGCGAAAAATGTTACGCAAGACAACACGAACAGAATATTAAAACAGTAATAAGTATTTTTAGAAAGACGAGTAAATGAAAAATCTGGTCGAACACGCAGGTTACAGGTATTTAATAAAAACTCCAGCCGGTGCTTTAAATCATGTAATATCGGCAGTGAACCACGCGGGCATTGTGAATTCAACTATTCCTGGAACATTCCTGCTCCCCTAGGTCGTAATAATTTTATCTCGCGAAAACGCGTCGACCCCGATGCTCGACGACGAGGAGTGCTCGACCGATTTTCATTCCTGTTGTCTGTCGAAAACTTTACAGTTTCGTCGTCGGTATGTCGGATACGATCCAGCGAACGCGAACGTTTTTCGACATTCGTTCGCTGACCGACCGCGTGAAATCAATTTTATCGTCTCGGGAGAAATAAAAACTAATTAAAATAGCGAACGATATTTGCTGCGACGACCGCCGAAACGGATAAAAAAAATAACAACACACCATTATTATTAATTTATCAGTGCGAGATCGTATTTCCATTCAGACCAGTAGTAAGCTGTACACTCGCACGTAGACACGTGTGCGTGTGGAGGAATTCGAAGCATGCGCTTCGCTTTCGCGAAAACGGTCGTCGTTCTATATTTTTTTATCCCATTTATTTCTTTGGCTTTTTAATCAACCGCGTATAATGGACTTTTGATGTCCGCACAAAGAACTCGGGTATATCGTACAGGGCACGCAGCCCGTTAAGCTTCCATAGAATATAATATAATAATAATAATAATAATAATTATAATAATGTAATGCGGACAAGATATAGGCGATGGTCTCCTTCTGAGCGCATTCTACCGCAAACGTTTTCGGTCGAACAGCAGTAACAACTCGTCAACATTCGATTTATCATCGGGCGAACACGTACAGCAGTAGGCACGTCACGGTATAATAATGTTATGCACGGAAATATTATAATGGCGCGCGGAGATGCGTTGCGCGGCCGTGATCGATACCCGTTCGCACCCCATCGAGACAATGATAATAACGTACTGGCCCGCGTCGTCTGCTATCCGCGTGCCGATTATACGTGTGTACCGACGCGATATCACCGTCATTTTGTCAATAATAATACATAATAATGACGCGGTGCTATGATCAACGATGGTGTTTTGTATCGGGAGGGACTAGGTGATTCCGTCGGAACGCGCAAAACACAATAATAATACATAGATATATCCACCGTAGTTGTTGTTGTTATTATTATTTGTTCACCTCGCTACACGTTTACAATATCAAGTCGAAAGCCACGCTTCGTACACGCTACCAGGGTCTTCCGGAAGAATGGGACGTTTTTTAAATAACTCTCATAGAAGTGAAAATGCGTGTTTACACAATACTCGCTGCCAAAACAGGATCTACACAATAGGTCACGCGAGTCCCGGATATCATGTCTTAAAATATCCGTATGGTGTTTTCACACGCTCCTGAAATGAAAATGTGCCTTGTTCGACGTTGAAAATATGTCACCAAAACTGAGGCCGTCAGTTGTCATATTTTCATGATTTTTTTCGCGAACTTTCACCGCAATCGATTTACGGCCCGAAGGTTTCAAATGCTTACGATTTAGAATTTAACGGTGCTGAAACGAATACAAATGCAAATAAACATCTCGAGAACGTAAATTCAAAGACATTCTGCGCTCTTGGACTTTTAATAGCGCGCAATATGCCTTCATTCCCGTTGTTCTCTACAAAAGGATTATGTAAATACGATTGTTTCACTTCCGTGAGAATTATTTCGAATTTTCTCACATTTCTCGAAAAGCGCGTGCGTATACATACGTATCACTATGATAATGATGCCCACAACAGCGGCGGCAATATTATTATGCAGTACAATAATCGGACCAAACGTAAGTTTGAAAATGAACGCTTTGTGCAGTACCGGTCGGCGGGCAGGGAAGAAAATGTTAGTCACCGTATCGATAATTATATTATGCGGGTGAGGGCGTTCGGTCCATCAACGAATGTATTGTAATATATATATATATATATATATATCGATCCGTTGAAATTATAATACGTTCACAATGTAACGTAATGACAACGAACCATAAACGTCGTTGATGAGCGACTACGCTGTACGACTGTGTTCCGTTAATTTTTTTTTTATTCTCTCTCCGCTATAAATACTACAGTTTGATATTGTTTGACAGTGTGTCATTCGATTCCTCTCTTTTTCGCATCTACCCACAGAGGAGAGGCTGCATCCGATTACACCTCTATATTTGATCGATTGCGATAAATTACGTGTCGCGGTCGGTCCGCGGGGCCTGGAGCACAGTGCCGTGATGTCGTCCGGGTAATATGATGTTTCCCGCGGAAAATGTGTACGGTAAAACAGTGTAATGACATTTTCAAGCGTCCGTTATTTCGGTCGTTGGGTGCTCAACGTTACATACAACGTGTAATTAATTGCATTCAACAACCCGTTAATAATTTAAAATCCCAATTTAATAATTGCTAAAGAGTTTACGAGACATAGTTACACCGATCCTTACGCACGGTTAAATCGTTAAATTTGCTGAAATCGGTTTCAACATACGATGTATATGGTAGGACGAGTTTGTGGAATCGTCGGATAAATATCCGATATCGTGAAATCGGTGGTCATATGCCGAATTCACGTATCCGGCAACTGCGTTGATGAATCTTATGACACACGACTGTCGTGGCGAAATTCTCGACTATATCCGCGTTAAACAAAACCGAATCTATGTGCCGGTAGTTATACGCGTAATCGTTTCGTAGCTCATTCAGTGGAATGGTTCGACTGCAGACAATACTGTAAGGTCGATGACGAACAAACGTAACCAACTATGAAAGGAGAGGTAATTTCAATGATCGAAATCGTGTACAGACTGTTCATAGTACTTGATCTTTATTTCGTTTTCTTTGGTATATTTTAAAATACTATCAGCAGTACGAACAATTTCAACCGACGTCCAAAAGAATAAAATATATTCGCCAAAAAATACTATTTAAAAAGTGTTTTAGTTGTACGCGTTATAATATTATAAACAAATCTACTCTGCCGCGGTCCATGCAAGTACATGTATTTTCGGACACAGGGCAAAGTTTATGACAAAAAACGGACTGTATGTGTGTGTGTGTGTGTGAGTTTGTCTGTGTCACGTTAAAAGTTGCACGAAAAGTTAACAAAAGGTGAATAAATAGAAATAAGTTAATTTTAAGTAGCGAAACCTGAAAGAGAGATGCTGATGAATAAATACTCGGTTGATAGAGAAATACCACACGACCGTGAGGGAATAGAAGATTTCAATAATATTATGAAATAATGAAAGACTATTAATATTTCGAAAGAATAGAAGACTTCCACATCGCGTTGACGCCGGTTCCGAGAGGAATCGATATAAACTGTTGCGTATTCATAATTGTTTACACAACATCGACCGAACGTCGCAATGATTCGCAAAATAATATTTTTCTCCAAAGATGACTGATAGATAGGATTGCCAATAATACAGTTGCCGTGATACAACGAATCGTTCCTAAGTCATGGGTGATTAATAATATGTAACTATCGAAATGCGAGCACGTTAAGTCGGTTGAGTTGTTTTAAAAAGTATTTACCGAATTGAACAAAAACGAAGTCATTTTCTCACCAAATTTCTATAGTTGTGTTGTACAGATTATTCAATACGATACGCATATTAGTTATTTGCGACCAAAAAGGATTTTTATTTTGAAAATCTCCGTCCGTTTTCCTTTTTTTTCTGCCGCAATCCTTGATAGTGTCCGACCCTTATGATTTATTTATTCGGATTTTCGTTTAGAAGCTCAGTTGCCTTCCGAATCACGTGTAAACAGACGTCATGAAAATGCTTAGACACACACACACAAACTCGTAAAATTTGAAAAACTATTAATAGAACGTCCGAGCTATTATGTAATCGACATCGCACATTCTTCTTATGATGTTTTATAACATAAACTCTCTGTTTTTGCGGAATTATCGGAAAAAATGTTTTATACAATATGTGTTTTCGTTAATTTCGTCACGATTACGAACATAACGACTCCCGTTAACGAAAAACATTTTATTTCTTCATCGAATTTCGTCCCGATCTTTCTCGAATGTTTTTTCCTTTTTATTACCTCCTTTATTTTGTACGCAGGGGTATTAAAATTTTAATAATAAAAACGTCAACAGAGGAATTTAGTAATTTAGAACGGTTTAATTTGATACGACCAATAATGTCGAATTATTTATACTGACTGCAATATTACGCGGTTATTGTCGCGGGGTTGATGTTTAAACAACCTAGAGACAGGGAGGGGGAAGAAATCGATTTTAAATTTCAGTTTATTACGAGAACAGAAAGGGATAAAATACGGATTTTATCGTAAGTATAACGTATTCAAACGAGTCTCACGAATTTGCGAGTAAAGCTCATCTTAAGCATAATATTTTTTCACAATAACTATATTCATACGCGTGCGCAATATGATAGTATACAAATTACAACAATGTTGAAGAAGTAATCACGTTAATCGAGGTTTATAATTATAATTCGTTCCCAATACCCTAGTGCTGTAACACCCTTTTCCGGAGGAACGTCCCTCTTGGTCGTCGAATTCGGTTTCGAATACGTCAGCGACTGTTAGCTCTTTCGAGAGTGAGAAAAAAATGGAAAAAAAAAAACAAAAATAAAAATCGCAAGTATTCGAGTGAAATTATAATGGTGATAATTAAAATACATTTGTTTGCCTTACCTGTGGCCTGAGCGTGGCTGCTTTTCTGTACATGTCCTCGGCCCTGAGCGACACGCCCGCTTGCCTGAGTGCCGTAGCCGCTGTCACGGTCAGATCGTAGTCTTCGGGCTCCAACACGACGGCTTCTACCAGTTGGGCAGCCGCCTCGGGATATCGTTCTTGTTCCAACAGGAACACGCCTTTGAGATGGGAAAAAAACGAGTATAAACAAAAAAACACCGACCAATTTGTTTTATTGTCCACCCCCGCCCTTTTCTCCTACTTTCGTCTACGGAATTTTTCGCTCGATGAGAGACGAACACACTACAGTATATAACAATATCTTTCACAATATACCGACCGAAATGTTTGTACACCGACGCGTCACCGGGAGCCAATTTTTTTGCTCGTAGAAACCAATTTTCTGCTTCATGAATACGGGTTCTCTGAAACACATTTGTTATGCAAATCACAAGGCGAACAAAAAAAAAAAAAAAAAAAAAAATAAGACAATCTATAAAGTCTTAAAAAAACAAAGTGTTTTATCGGAATCACGTAATGCGTATACATAGATGTTATTCATAATATTATGTAACGTATCGTCCGTCGACTGTATACATGAGTACGAATATTCCCTGAACCGTCAAATCGGTTACCCGATATAAATGCGATTTCGGAGTGTGATCACGGCGTATGCGTGTTTAATTGTAATATATTCGTAGAATTAGTGTAACACAAAATGTACTAACAACATATTATGCATTTGCATATAATTTTGTTGTATTATAATAAGCTTTGATATTTTTCATCTGTTGCCGGTCGACGATCAACAGGAGGCGGTGATCGGTACGAGATGTGCCAGAGTAAAAAATGTTTGCGTGAATAAAAATAAAAAGGCGTTGTGCAAACTTATTGTCGCTGTTCAACTGGTCGCTAGATTAGTATGTAGCAACTGTAATCGTGTAGAATATTTATATATTGTTATACATTTTCTTAGGATTTTTACAGGTCTTACAGGCCCTTTTTCGCAACAACATACCTTTTCCGATTTTCTTTATTATTTGCCGCTTATTTGCGTTTCTTACTCGCAATATCTTCAGGTCTTTTTTTTAATTTATTTGCTAATTTTTGTCTGGATCGGCCTCTGGATCTCCTTGCATTTAATTTCCGTGCAGCTGTTTGTAAAATTAGTTTTTTGATCTCCATACATGTCCGTCCCAAATTATTCGCAAAATTTTCAAGGTACCAACAATGTTGGGTTCGTTGTATAGTTATTCAACGTTTTTATTGACTCGAATTTCATATTATTCTTCATTGTTTCTCTTTGTACCAAATATCTTTCCTCGATATTATTCTTTCAAACTTTTTCAACTATTTTTATCTAAATTTCGTCGCCCAAATACGACTTACATACATAGCTACTGATTTGACTAGAACTTTATATAACGTTACTTTGGATTTTCTTCATAATAGTTTTGACTTGAACAATGGTATCAGATCATAGTAACACCTGTTCGTTGCGAAGAGCTGTCATTTAAATTTTTCGTGACTATTAGCATCTTCATTAATGACTGCATCTAAGTAATTAAAATATCCTACACTTTAAGATATTTATTTATTTTTAAGTAATCTGTTCTGTAATTTTGTTTAGATACTATCATGTATTTTTTCTTTGTCTCATTAATTTTTTCCCCTCCTACAAAGAGTAATATATTTATAATATATTATGGAACGAAAACTTTATTTCAATAATAAATATGATGTGTACCAAAAACATTTCGGAAATTAATATTTTTCTACTCTATACATACGTCTCCGTCCTTCCACGTATACCAACGGTGGATGTAATTTTCAAATCGTCCCAATGGTTTTACCGTTGTTTATTATGTGAGTCATTTTAATTTTAATTGTGCTTTGATCCGTTTTAATTAACATTGAAGTTATTTGTATTTTATAAATTAAGTATATATTGATTTTTTATTCAAGCACTTCCAAACGGACGTTTTGACATAACTTGATAAATCCCAAATATTCATTTTGAGTGATAATATTTTCTTCATTCAACGTGATAACGCGGACTAAAAATATCATAAAATAATGTATTGGATAAGAACACATTATCTATGTACATAAAATACATATATCGTTCGTTTTCTGGTTATTCAAATTTACTGACACATTTGGAATTTTAGGGGTTGTACTTACTGGTAGATGTACTTAGAAGGATTTTACGAAAATTGTATTTGTAAGAGTTGAAATAGTTATGAGCTCTGGGTTAAGTTAGCTTCGATAGGTTAAAACATTTTTTCTTTTTTGGTTGCTAATAGAATATATTATTTTGCCCGATTTGTTGATTTGAATGATTACCGATTGAAAACATGTGAATTAATGAGAATGAGAATAAAAAGTTTGGTCTTTTTTCAACATAAATATTTTTCTCCGTCGAAATACTAATTGATCTAACCTAAAATAGTAAAATATCTTCAGGGTATGCAATAAAGAATTATAAAATATGCGTTTAAATTTTTATATGATAAACACAAAAATATAGTAACAAAAAAAATATTTGTTGATTGAAATACATCAGTGGTTGGCTGTTTGTCTTAATATATTATAATTCAGAAATAAAATAAAATAATTTAAAATAAATTATTTATTTTTGAAAAAAAAAACCAAGTTTTATACTTTAATCAGACGGCCTAAAATTAATTACGAAATATACTACGAGTATATAACATTTATTTTTCGCATTCTTATAATCGAAATATGCAATAATATTGATTTTATTCAATATATGTAGTAAAGTGCGTTTTATCCAAAACATTCAAAATAAAAATACCACCATGTATCTCATCATGAGGTGATTCGTAGACATTACTGACAAAATCAATAATCAGAAGTCGCAAAATAACATGTTGTTGCATACAAATCCTAGCCCTGATAATGAATAACGAATTAAAATTTATTTAAGTAAAATTCGTGTATTTGTGTGAAAAAAAAATCATTTTTTTATCGTTCTCACTACATCGTGTATAATTTAATCGATGTTTCAATGTTAACACGCCAGCGAATACGATTTGAATTATTTCTGTTTATCGGACTTACAAGCGGCGTCGGATGAATGAAGTATTTTTTTTTTTTTTAATCTACCGTTTTTTCTAACGTTTAATCATCGCGTATTGAGAACTATGAAGTTCTCAAACCGGAAGAGCAAACAAAAGAACAATAGATTTTTAATCATCGTCGAAAACTAGGTCACAGAAGTCGGAGAGGAAAATATTTTTTCTTTTATTTCTTTTTTATTTATTTATTTATTTATTTATTTTTTTTTTGCACGTACTCGCGCTTGGAAATGAAAATATAAACTCTAGTTAGTGTACAATTTGAGTAACAAACTTTTGATAGACGACAAGACCAAACACAAAAGTCTGAATGTACGGTTTGACTGCGATGTATTGGTAGGTACAATATGCTCGCATACCCTGCACACACGTGCACTCCAGCGTACGTATAAATTATCGAGTGCACGCGGGGCAAAGGACGAGCGAAGGACGAGAACATGGTGGCCCCATATTTCTGTTCGGTATGATACGATCGAGCGGTGACACGGGAGAATCAAAGCCAGGGAATACTGTTAAATCCAGCGTTCGGATGGATCATCGGTCGCGGTCGAACGCGAACGGACGAACCGTTTTCCGTCTCGGAAGCACATAAGCGTACCGCATATATTGCTAGAGGCCCGTAGGAAATTGACGGCTTTCGTTTCGTCGAATCGCGTTTGTCATAGGCGTTACCAAGGGGTATCGAGGGGTATCGTTGCTACCTCAGATATTTTTGTGGGGTAGCGAGGGTATCTTTTGCTATTCCAAAAAAATTTATAGATTTTAAAAATATATTCAAAGTTTATTATTCAAATGTGTACGAACATAAACCATCTATTATTGTGATTGTACCCAAAATAATTATATTTTGTAATAAGTCCAATACGGACAGTAAAACAGTGTATACACTAAACATCATACCAAGATTTTTGAAGAAGAGTTAGCCGTTTAAATAAGTCAGTTAAGCCAGTAAGCCAGTTATCATGTTTAACCTTCAAAAATTTATTTTTTAACTTTCTAAAAATAAACTTTGCTACCCAAAATTTGGTCTTAAGTGACGCCCATGACGTTTACGATAACATTATAAGAAAATCAATTTTCAATGTTTTCAAATTACTTTTTTTAAATGTTCGTTTTAAAATACCATACAAAATACTTATATACTAATACTACCAGCACATAGATCGTTGTTTTCTAATGTATTCTAATATTTTCATTAACGCAGTTGAAAAATGAGAAAAAAAAAATCACAAATACACCTTCTGTATGTTATTTATAATTATTTTATTAAATTGAGTTAACGTATTTATTTTGTTTTTAGGGTTGGGTGGGACCGGGAGGAATGTAATATTGAAAAATCTTAGTGATAATTAATTTTTTTTTTTTTGTTATTATAATTAATATTTTCAGTCAGATTTTAAATTTTTAATTAAATTATGAGTTCTTAAAATTAAAATTATGTTTAGAGGTACATAATTTTAATTTTAAATTTGATGATAAATATTTCACGTCTATTTATATATATATAAATCTCGTGTCGCAGTGTTTGTGACCATACTCATTCGAAACGGCTTGACTGATTTTAATGAAATTTTGTATATACATTTGGTAGATCTGTGAATAGGTTCTTATCTATTTTTTAAACTCCTAAGTGCTATTGTATAATACATAGTAGTTTAATTTAATATTTTTTGATTAGGTCGATAACTGCACAATTGAAAATGAATTATTAAATGTTCCTATTAAAAAACTATTAAAAACTATTAATTTTATTTTTGGTATTAAATGACGGGTATTGTATAAATATTAAACAACAAGATTCCGCAACAGGTGCCAAAATAAACAAGAATGTTAGTTCGAAGGATTATTATGCATATCGGTTGATGATTAGACGCGATCAGGACAAAGTTATTCTACGATGTCGTGAGGTTTGTCAACAATTCATGGTCAACATATATGTAAAGATAGAGAGCGAACAATTACGATACTTTCAATTGAATCAAAAAAAGCTGCGTGCGGAAGATTCTTAAAACAATTGTTAGATATCGGTTATGGGAAAGTTACTACAGATGAAACAGGATGCATACAACTACCGACCGATTTCTGCGTAATCATTGATTCGCAAAATGCTCTCATTGACCAAATATTTCCTAATGTACACAGAAAAAACACAAATCATGAGTGGCTGGTAGAAAGAGCAATTTTAGCAGCAAAAAATGTGGACGTCAACAAATTGAATCTCAAGATACAAAATTTGTTACCAGGAGACTTGGTGACATACAAATCTATTGATACAGTTTACGATACTACTGAGGCTGTAAATTATCCAACAGATTTTTTAAACT